TATATATATATATATATATATATATATATATATATATACATATGTAAAAATTTTAAAACTGTAAACTACAGTCATTGTTACTATTTTTCAAGGCTGCACTTTAAAAAATGATGAAATTGTCCAGAGAGCTGTTTCCAAACGAAATTTCTTTTTGTTTTTACCCTTTTGTAAACAAAATGACTAATAAAATCTGTCTAACTCTAAGTCTCTAAAATACTTAATGGCACGGTCCAATTTTGCATACATCAGGTGAATTGCATACCAAAATGCAAGGATCCATACCAGATATCGCAGCACACCTCTTAACTTTTTTCATAAATAGCTTACAAAGGTAGCTCTATCATATGCACTTGTGGCATTAGTAAAGCACAGAAAAACAGAAGTGCTCAACCTATTTTTTTAATCATATCACAATATGTAATTGAAGATTTTTGCAAACATGTGAAATTTAAATCAATAATTTTACTTTTATTTTATATTCATTTTAGTGGTGATGTCTATTTGAATATCAAAACCAGTTTCAGTAAACTTTTCTGAAAGAAATTGATATAAATTAAACAGAAATGTAGTAGACAATCAGTACTGGTTACAGTACTTCATGAAAAAAAAGAAATATTTATTATTTTTGTATATATTTCCTTTTTTATGTTACATTTTTTTACATAAAAAACTGAAATTAAAATGTTTTGGGCTTATTTATCTATGTTTTATTTATTTAATTATTTGGGCTTATTTACTTATTTATTATATTTATGAGGCAGTTTGGAAGACCAATGTCATGCTGAGATCCACATTCAGATTCTAGGAAGATAGCCAAGTGAACCTGGGATACAGATCATTGGTATTTTGGATGAGAAAACACAGGATGGAGTGAATCCATCTGTCTAATCAACAGCAACATGAAAAAGATTCACAGATACTGCGGTGTTTTAAGGGAAAGGAAAGCATCTCCTTAAAGAACTATGACTATTATGTTTGTTATAACATCCTTTAGGTTCTACGTGCAAGTAAAAACTCAAACTAGTGGGTATTAGGTACCGTATTATATGTGATGTCATCACTAGAGATTTAATATCAGCTTTGTGAAACTGACTTATTTTAAGGTGGCTTGTAAAAATATTCACACCCATTAAAGTTTTCAAATACATGTCTTAACAACTTATAATCTCAAAAGGTTGGAGACCCTTGTATTTTGCCTTGTATTTAGCTTGATCCCTATTTTTTTGTAATTTCTGACTCTATATCATATTAAAGGTCAGTGCTGACTGAAAAAAACCCCCAAAAACTTGTGACTGCAAGGGATTATTTTCCATAAAACCTTTATAACTTGTTTCCTGGCAACAGAGAGTATAATAGCTGTTACAGGCAGCAGGAG